TTGGGATGAGGAAGATAATTAAATGATTTACTTCAATGGCTGTTCATGAGATGTGCAGAAGTACTGTTATAAAATACAAAAGATATGATTTCTGATGTTGTTGAGCAATTTTTTACCTTTTTTTGATCTTTGGGGAGATTTTGACACCTCAGAGGCACGCCTTGGTGCCCCCACTATAGGTGTGCCTTTGGAGCGGTCAAAATCCGCACCCAGGCCTGCCCTAAATCAAAACCCGCGCCCACCCCATGACTGGCCATGCATAGAGCTAAGGGCATCCAAAATTCACTCAGGGCTAACCAGATCACACCTTGGATGCTTCATAGGCACAAAATGTTCTAAAATTATTTTGACTTTGACCTATATTGCTGGTATATGTGTATCAAACTTTATTTAGAGGTTATAGGAGTCTATTTGGATGAAAAAGAGCTATGCTGAGGCTATGTTGAAAGAAAAAGATCAATTGTTTTTATTGATTGCACAAAAAAACAATGGGCACCCAGGCAGACAGGGCAGCCAGTGTGCCTGCAGGGTGTTTGTGACTGTGACAGGGCCCAGACTGTCAGCTTCAAGAATATTGTTGGGCAAAGTTGGCAGGGCAGGGCAGGGTCTGGGTCACATCACTAGTCACAAGATCCAATGACATATATTTAACTGAGGGAAATATTATGTTACAAACCATATCCTTTTTGGGGTAAACATCAGATGTGCATCACATAAGTAGCAATCATGTATAATGAGAATACCAAATAAATCTTTAACTGTGATTACATCCAATGGACTTGTATGTAATCAAACCCCAAGTTATAAATGTAAGACTTTTATATTTTCAAGTACACATCCCCACGCCTAGGATTTGTAATCATCGGGTTCGCGACAGGCCCCGGCCCCGCCGCTGCAGAACTTGAATGATTACGTAAACCACTTGGAGGGGACTGTACATACCTCACTCTTTCACCTATGGTGAAAATGCATCATCACATTACTTCTATCAATCACTTCATCCATCAAATAAACAAATTCCTTAACCTAATTTATTATATGTTTCTACATTTCTTTAACCCATTGTGATCATGTTGTTAGTTATTAAAGTTCTTGTCAAGACTTATTTGATTTTGTTAGAAGGTGATGCTAGAAGTATTGCTCAAGTTAGTAAAGAGATTTAATAATAATCAAAACTTTAAACTGATGAAATTCCTGGTTTAAAGAATTACACAATATCTAGATGGTATCTTCCTCGTGGTTGGTACAAAGTATCAACATAGGGGAATCTGTAAAAAGGTGAGGTGAAACACGCAAGCACAGCAAAAACAAAAAAGCACCTCTTAAGAGGTGCAACAGAAAATTGGCACAATCGACAATCATCTCTTACGAGAAATGTCAAGCCATCACGCAGTTCGAATTTTCTTTCCACTCTCACATCGTTGTTCTCTTAATTTCTCCTCAGGTCCTTTGTCCGCTCTTCCAGCAGTTGTTTCTGTCTCAAAATTAAAAGTCATAAAAAATTTGTTATCCTTACCACCAGTTTCATTTCGACTCGTTATTCCAGTCTCGCAAATACAACTGGTTATCTTTTTATCTCCTCAACAGTTAGATGGTTTTTCTTCTGTTTTTTGTTTTTTGTTTCCCGCCCACCATCCCTTTTAGTCAAACTAGGGGTCAAAAATCCAGCAAATACGTGGTGTTTCTTCCTAATTTCTCTCACTTGTGTATCCAAAGAGTGGGGAGCGCTCCAGTGGAGTGACTCAGCGCCGATGTGGCCGCCCTCATGTACTCCGCGGATCTTTCTCCTGCCCCACGTGCAATCCAGGCCCAGGGCCAAGTCTAGCGTAAAAACCCAGCAAGCCTTGCTACCCGTGCCTCAAACTGATTCCCTTCACAGTCAACAAATTTACCTCACATTTTTCATTTCAAGTCATCAATATTACATTCAAATCCATGAAATCAACAGAATTTTTCCAAAGAATTGATCCATGTAATCTTTGGGTGTAAAACAATACCTAGATATGTCCAAAGATTTGTTTTCAATGATACCTCAGATTCTGTAACCCAATGATCATCATCAAGACAATTCTTCTTCTTAAGAAAATAATTATAATCAAAAGAAAAAAGGAAAAACCTCATCAAGCTCTTTTGTTTTTTTTTTAAAAGAAATCATTAATTTTTAACATCTTACAAGCCCCCTTAAAAAAAATCAAAAAAAATTAAAAAAAATTAAAACAAAAAAAAACACACACAAAGAAAAAGGAAAAAGTAAAAGAAGAGAAAAAGATTATAAATAAAAAAAACCCAAAACAAGGTGAAAAAAGAAAAAAAAGATTTTCATTTTTATAAAAAACCAAAAAAAAAAAAAAAAGTCCAAAATCTTTAAAAAACAACCAGTAAAAAGAATCATCAAAAAGAAAAATTTTGTTTCATGATCATGTTTTTTCATCATTGACTTCAAGTTTTGTAAGTTTAGATCAACTGTTGAGAATTTTCTTCTTCCTACACTTTTACATTCATATAATTGTCCCAAAGAAAGAAGAGAAGCAAAGAGAGAAGAAATCCTAAACCCCCCCCGCAAAGAAAAGTCTCCCTTATCCCACCACTTCGTCTTTCTTCTCTACTTCTTCTTCCTTTACTTCTTCTTTTAATTCTTCACTAGTTCTTTCATGACTAGGAGAAGGAGAAGAAACAGCTACAAAGATACCCGCACACAAAGGATCAAAACCATTATTAATCATCAATATATTCTAAAAGAAAGGAGAAAAAAAAACACTAACGAGTTCCAATCAATTGATTCAAACTTGATAATCGTTTTGAAGAAGCAAGATTCGAAGCCGGAAGAGTTTTACTTCTTTTCACCACCAAAGGTATCGATTGATGACGTTGATGGTAATGAAAAGAATGATGAGCATGAAGAAAATCAAGTTGAGTAGGAGATTCAGAGATCGAATCTTTAGGATGATCTTCTTCTGTACCATCCGAGCGAAGGATAAGTTCATCATTGGTCGTCAATCTCCTAGGAGGTGAGAGTGGTGAGAGTGGATCATCAGATGAAGAAGACGTATTGGAATCTTGTGCTGCTTTCCTTCGTTTGATACTCAACTTTCGTGCTGAGAGTTCAGGTATGTTGGAGGGTGTGCTGAAGTTAGGATGACTTAGTTGTGGATGAAGTGAACGAGAGGATTGGTGGGCTGGTAAGCTGGGTCGTTCCTGTGATTTGTGGTGTTGTCCGACCAAGTTACAAACGCACAAAAACGAACAAACAAACAAAAAGGGGAAAGAGGTAATGGTTGAGATTGATTTAATAAGGTGACTCATCAAACTTTCTTGGAAAGTGTGTGTGGTATTGAAAACCGAATAAGAGAGAGAGAGAGGGCGTTGGAGAAAGGAAGAAGAAAGGAAGAGGTGACTGATGGGTACTGCTCAGAGACTAACATTGCGATGAGGAGAATCGGTAGGTTGGTTGGGATGTGGGGTTCCGTTGGTTTTAGGTTGAGGACGAAGACCGACGACAAAGTAATTTTGATTATCGATCAAGAATTGAAGCACTTCTTGAGCTTCTTTGACGTCTCGCATGATTAACTCTTGTTCATCTAAAGATTGTTGTTGGATCGAAGGTTGACTTGAATTCAAGGGCTTAGAAGACGAAGGATTATAAATGATTCGATTTAGATGAGCTTGATTCCTAGGTTGAGGTTGACAAAGCCCAGGTTGAAAGACCACCGCTAGATTCGCACTGGTCATCAGATTCACATCTGATTTCAATGCAAACACAGAAAGCAGATCCAAGAGATAAAGTAAAAGATATTGTGAAGAAGGTGGTAAGGTTGAGATGAGCGATTTAAAGGTTCGGACTTGTTTGGTTTTCTCCTTTTGACGGTCATTGAGGATATTACGAAAGTCTTGGTACATGCTGTAGGGAATCAAAGGTTCCTAAATAAAATCCAAATCAAAAAACTAGGATTAATGATCTTGTTTTTGATGATGGTCAAACAAAAGAGAAAGTCAATGAAAGGTAAACTAAACTGGTAATGACATCAAGTACCTCCTCAAGACATTAGCAGCATCATGAACCGAAAAGTAAGACTTTTGGTTTCCATTATTGATATGATTTGAATCGATTAAACTACCAGTTGAACCTGAAGTAGAACTCGAACCATGATCTGATGGATTAGTAGTTTTCCAATCTAAATCTTTACCATAGTTAGGTGGTTCATCAAAAATCGCTTGAAGTTCACGCATTCGTTTAGTCGAACCTGAGATTCGAAAGATCCCTTGAACATTGGTTGCATTCTCTTTAAGATATAATCCACATTTAGCCACCACCACAGGTATATAACCATAGATATAAGCTTTCTTATCTTGACCGACCATTGAGATGGCCACAGAAGCGAGTTCTAAAGATTGTTCTAATCTAGCACCAAAGACTGTAGGAGAAGAAGGGATTAAATCATGAGAAAGTGAATAAGATGGTTGATGTTTTGTTTTTAAAAAACTTGAACGCATTGGATGATTTGATTGTGAGGTTGATGAAGATGAAGATTGTTGTTGTTGTTGTTGTTGTTGATGTTGATGATGATGATGATGATGATGATTTGAATGTTGAGTTTGATAATTATTAGAATTAGTGAGAGAGCTAAATGGATTACTAAACGGATCAAAGAGAGCAGTATGATTTTTGATGAACGGACGCCACCATTTCTTTTGAGGTTGAGGATGAACTTCAGATAGAGTAGAAGCCATTTGATGATAGATTTGATTGGATTAGTTTGAATCGTGATCTGATGATTGAGATGGCTGAGATGGCGAGTTTGGAGAAGTTGAGAAGAGGAAGAGAGAGAGAGAGAATGGTTCGATGATGAAGTTGAAGAAAAAGATAAAATTTTTTAATAAGTAGTAGAGTAGTGGTAGTGGTAGTGATAGTATTTAATTCTTTGATGGGGAATCTCAAGAAGTCCATCAAAGTATTCACTACATAGTTCAATTCAACTTAGGTCGTCAAGGCTAAAAACTTATTAAATTTAAATCAAATCACTTAAATTTTAACACTTCACCACTACTCAACCTTCTCTTTCTTCAACTTCAACTCCAGCCACTTCACTTCACTCTATCACTTCACTCATATCCTTATATACTCATTCTAAATCTAAATCTACACCTCCACAGCTTTACTGTGTAAAGATTAACTACACAGTAAGTGAAAAAGTCTTCAAGGACTTATGCTTCATGGCTTGGTCTTATGATCTCAAGAGATCTTGACTCTAAGCCCAATTCTAAATTTTGCACTCTATTTCTCATTCATGTTTTACAAAGTTTGGAGCTGTAGCTTTTTCTATTTCAAATTGCAATAAATTATTACCTCGATGTAGTCCAATGAAGGAATATCTCTTCATACGGGTGGCTGTGCATCCAGGAAAGAGGCAGAGAATTTTCTCTTGATCGATGGACCGGACAGTGTTGGGTACATAGCATACCACTGTGTAAGTATGTAAGTAGAGCTTTCATTACTCCTCGCCTACTTAAAATAAAGGTGCTGTGATGTGAACTATCAGCAGATCCAGCAAGAAGGGCTACAGCCTTGGTGGTGGTGATTCCAAAAGTACGTACCATCTCAATTGGCTGGAAGAGAGCTTGTTAGGTACGCTCTTCTCATCCCGCCCGTGATCCCGTAACAAGCTTCAAGGGACTGTGTATATGCTTATTGTCAGCGGCTTTCTGTGCAATGACTTGTTTTGTGATTGTTGCTTCTTTTCCGTTGATTGTTTGTTGAAAGATCAATGGTTTTGTCTTGATCGAACGTGACAGCTATACCCCCAGTTGTTTGAATCTGATCACTCGGTGTAGAACATTGAACCGCAAAGCTAGCCATCTCACAATGCCGTTTCTCAGACAATGGGCTAATGACAGAATTACCAGGAGCTCAGATCTTCAATCAGCCATCACGTTCGGCATGATCAGTGGACCAACAATCACACCCAGCCCAATATTTTCAGGTGCAAGACAAAGAAAAAAACTATCCAAGGAGAGTCATTATGTTTTGTTGAGATGGATTCATATTGGGTTGTAAGTACCAGAAGCGTCAAGATTTTTTTGAACCTCTTGAGTACCATGCGTTGAGCGGGCACCATGTGCCAAGCAGTAAAATGTATGACTTGCGCTGGCCATTCACATTACAAAATCTTGCACAATACCCTCAATGAAGGGCCAAAGGTCTGGACCAACACTCAACAAAAGCACAGACAAAATCTACCAACCGCCAAGCAGCAAGTAATCGTTGACAATGTTACACAGAGTGTACTTTATACTGGGATGAATGACAGCCAAACCTTTCAATCCCATCACACAGGGATGTGAACGCTTCCCGATCACCAAGCAAGTGGCTTACAATGCAAAGCTGATGACAGTACTGATGGAGAAAATTGATGTGTCAATGATGTTTGAGATTGATCATTTTTATGAGGAGATATCAAGTCAGCTTGGGCCTTCAAAAAGTTATCATCTTTCCTTCGTCGCCGTCAGGTGCAACGTGACCAGCACACTCAGCGAAAAAACACATGTATAATCATAGCTTCCTAGGACCTCTTTAATATCCCAAGAATCATTCTAAGCCAACTCATGATGTGGCATCTCATTCTCGAAAAATATCACCAGCAATCATCCACAACCTCTTTGCCCTATGCCAAGTTATGCATCCAATCGTATCACTTGTCTTGGTACCATCTCAGGTAGACCAAGCGATTTTACATAAATTCTTCACATACACATCCTAATCTTGAGATCCAGACAACAATCTTCATCACAAGAAAGTTTCATTCCTTTGGCTTCATGTTGGGTAAAGCGACGCTGCTTGATGGGCTCAAAACATTGGCTACAGCTGGGCTCAAGGAAACTGGCTACAGCCATTGATCTACAACATCAAAGCCACCTTGTTATTGATGATGAGTTATGGAATGGAAACCTTATCCACCTGTCCCAAACCTCTGATCAAGATCTATACGCTCGTATCGGTAGGCATTTACAAACAATGGCGCAGGCAGAAAACGTGTCTGGACTGCGACCACGATGACCGCAGTGGTAAAACATTGAGCAAAGCTTTGCTGAAGATTGGTTTCGGGCATGTTTGAAGATCAACTCATTTGTTTTAATCCTACAACAAGTGAGAACCGGAAAATCTGTAGTGCAAGTAACAATTGTATCTATGTATAACTTTTGTATCATGATCAGTTCGTGAACAAAACAGCTTATAATTCAGAAATAAGTGAAGTCTATAAACACTCACCATCATCACTGACTGATCTGATGAACAAACGGTTTTGAAAGTCAAGATACTAGATTTAAGTTCAAAGTCTGCAATTTCACAAAATGGTAGGAATGAGTATTGGCTGGGTATGGATAGCGGGCATCTCGATTCACTTGGCTATCTCCTTGGACACAAATCCAGAAAATATCCGAGTCAATTCAAGACTACAAGAGATTCAGCCGTCCAGACAGATCTTCACAGCACGCGGTGATATGAACAACATATGCAGAGACAGTAGCTCCACATATCTGGATCCAAGCGCTCGTCCCATTCTCAAGAGACAAAAATTGGCGCCTCAAGCCGAAACAATTCTATCTCATGAGAAAAAGGGATCTTTTCAGTCCTTGGACTCGGAGAATCGAGAAAGAAGCTCAAAAGTTGAACTATGGATGGAAAAGAAATCTACAACAGATCACAAAGATTTATATCCATCAAGCGCTGAAAGATTTGACTCCAATAACCACAAGATTGCTAACATATGTCCTATCCCGAATCATAGAGGTGTAGAACAGAAAGAGCATCACACAGCTAGGGAGCTGAATTTTGATTTAAATCAAGAACCAATGGACCATATTTCACCAAAATTCTATGAAAATTTAATCTCACAAGGGAAAACTAATACTCTATCGGTAGAATCAACCAAAAAAGGAATAGAAAGTAAATCATCAATCAGAATGGATTCTGAACCAAAGGCATCCGAAATCGATATCAAAAACTTCCATCTACACGATCCTAACAAGATATGTTCAGCTGCTGCAATTCATTACACAAAAGATCTGATGATAAGTTTATCAGAAAAATATACACCTAGAGTGAAGATACCTAATGAATGCCTTAGTTGGAATTCAGGAAAAGAAATATGGACATCAGAGATCTTACTTCCGTTTGTATATTTCATGGTGATTTGTAATCCGAGTCAAAAGCTTTGGAAGTATATAAAACATTTAACTGTTTTGAGTTTAAGAGCTTATCATCAATCTTCACTTGAGGATAAAACTCAATCAGATCAAGAAAAACTCGGTCGATTTGTTTTATGGCATACTGAAGTGATGTATCATATTACTTTGTTACAACCAAGTATTAAATCGTTAGATGGGGTTAGACTTACTATTCGTGGTTTCTGTACTCTCGCTAGGTTGGTTTGGGTAATGAATGATCATGAAAACTTTGAGAAATGTTTTTCACAAAAATCTTGTAAATCTATTTTAGAAAGACACATTTCTGGCACATTTGAAGAAGATTATAAATCAGGATATCCAAGAAACGAACTTAATCAAAACTTATATAGTTCGACTTTAGAGAATTGGAAAAAGAAATCCAATGAGATTTTAAAGATTGGTAGATATGTAGATTGGTCGAAATTCTTAATAAACCATCCGAAAGACGAATCTCATCCACTTCTTTTAATAGATCAAGACCTTCAAAACCTAAAAACCGATCCAAAGTTATTGGTCTTTATGAAGTATTGGGAAAAAGATTTGGAAAAGATGTTTGAGTTTATTAGTCCGTTAAGTTTAACTGGTTTAGCTTTACCTCATTTTTCATTACATCAAATTTGTAAAGGAATGAATCAATTCATTAAAACCAAACGTCAAACATCAGGTCTTCATAAACCTAGCGAGTTTCAAGTTACTTTGTTCTCTCAATTCCTGCATCAAAAATTAAATGATAAATATTTCAAAAGGTTTTGGTAGCAATTCAAAAGGAAAAGAAAATGTCATGTTTTAATCTGAATCTAATCTATGGTGGTAGACATAAAAGATAAGGAAAGGCTTGAGTAGTGCTTTTATGTTTAGAGCTCTAAATTTCATGTGAAGTTTGATTTTATTGCACATAGAAAAAAATTCAAAAAGTTTTCCAATTGTCCCCAAAAGCTACTTTTGAGCTCTTGTTGATGAGGGCATGTCAAAAGTATCCTTGGCTCCTCAACAAGTTGAGAATCAGGGGCTTGTGTAGCACTTATAGATCATTCTAGATTTTCCTTATCTTTGGTGTCTCCCATCATATGACCTGGTAATCTATTATGATGTCTTAAGTTATTTCTAATTCCTAATTTGGACTTGGATCCCGGTCCAAAGTTTTGGTGTGCAAGACAAACAAAAAAACTATCCAAAGAGAGTAATTATGTATTGTTGAGATGTATTCATTTCCATAGGTTGTAAGTACCAGAGGCGTAAAGATTTCTGAAACGACTTCCTTTGGCTCCATGTCTGGTGAAGCAAAAATGCCTCATGCGCTCATAACATTGGCTACAGCTGGGCTCATGGAAACTGGCTACAGCCATTTTGCTCTATAACATCAAGACCACATTTTCATTGATTCTCATTCAAAGCAATACATCATCATGGCATGAGCATTGAAAATTGATAACGAGTTGTGCAATAGAAACCTTGATTGCCTGCCACAGACCTCTGAAAATCTATACTCTTGCATCGGTAGGCTTTTAACAATGGCGCAGGCATAAAACGTGTCTGGGGTGTGACTACGATGTCCGCAGTGTTATAATGCTGAGCAAACCTTTGCTGAAATTTGTTTTCGGGCATGTTTGAATATCAGATCACTTGTCCTAATTTTACAACGAGCGCGAACTGGAAAATCTGTAGTACAATGTATCTATGTATGACTTTTGTATCATGATCAGTTCAGGAAACAACACTTAATTCCGAACCAAGTAGACACTCGCCATCATCTACTGATCTTCTTGGCAGACATTTTTGAACGTCAAGATACTAGAGTTAAGCTCAAAATCTTCCAATTGCAATCCCACAAAATGGTAAGATTGAGTATTGTCTGGGTATGGATAGCGGGCATCTCGGTTCACTTGACTATCTCCATGGACACAAATCCAGAAAATATCCGAGTCAATTCAAGACTACAAGAGATTCAGCCGTCCAGACAGATCTCCACAGCACGCGGGGATATGAACAACATATGCAGGGACAGTAGCTCAACATATTTGGATCCAAGCGTTCGTCTGACTCTCAAGAGACCAAAATTGGCGCCTCAAGGTGAACCGATTTTATCTCATGAGCAACATGGAGTTTATCAGTCCTTGGAGGATCGAGAAGGAAGCTCAAAAGTTGAACTATGGATGGAAAAGAAATCTACAACAGATCACTATCCATCAAGCGCTGAGATATTTGACTCCAATAACCACAAGATTGCTGGTATATGTCCTATCCCGAATCATAGAGGCGTAGAACAGAAAGAGCATCACACAGCTAGGGAGCTGAATTTTGATTTAAATCAAGAACCAATGGACCATGATATTTCACCAAAATTCTATAAAAACATACCCTCAAAGGGGAAATCCAATACTCTATTGGTGGAATCAACCAAAAAAGGAATAGAAAGTAAATCATCAATCAGAATGGATTCTGAACCAAAGGCATCAGAGATCGATATCAAAAACTTTCATCTACACAATCCTGATAAGATGTGTTCAGCTGCTGCAATCCACTACACAAAAGAGCTCATTATGGCTTTGTCAGATAGATACACACCTCGAGGTAGGTTATCCGAATACCCTAGTTGGGAGTCAGGAAAGGAAATATGGACCTCAGAGATATTACTTCCGTTTGTGTATTTCATTGTGTCTTGCAATCCGAGTAGAAAGATTTGGAGATATATAAAACTCTTGACCAATTTACTCTTAAGGACTTATCATAAGTCCTCAATTGAAACTGAAACTTTATCAGATCAAGAAAAACTCAGTCGGTTTCTTTTATGGCATACAGAAGTGATTTATCATACTGCTTTATTAGAACCAACATTTAAATCATCATGTGCTCGACTCACCATTCGTAGTTTGTCCACACTTGCAAGAGTTTTTTGGTTGATTAATGATCACGATTGTTATGAGAGATCATTTTCAAAGGGATATTGTAAATCTATGTTAGAAAGGCACATTTCTGGAACATTTGAAGAAGATTACCAAGCAGGATATCCTAGAAATAAACTTAATCAAGATTTATATAGTTCAACTTTAGAGAATTGGAAAAAGAAATCCAATGAGATTTGGAACATTGGAAAATATGTAGATTGGTCGAAATTCTTGATCCATACACAAGATGAATCTGATCCGATCCTTTTAAAAGATCAGGATATCGAAACACTAAAGAATGATCCAAAATTGACTGTCTCCATGAAGTATTGGGAGAAAGATTTAAAGAACATGTTACTGTTTATCAAACCCTCACCAAACATCAACTTAGCTCTACCTCATTTTTCACTTGAGAAGATTTGTAGAGGGATTGATCAATTTATTAAACAAAAGTTGACGTGTAAAAAGCAGGAAGTAGACCTTCATAAACCAACTGACTATCAAGTTACATTGTACTCTTCTTTCCTTCATCAAAAAACAGATGATAAATCTTTTGAGAGGTTCTGGTAGCAGTTCCAATGTTCAGAAATGTATAGAAAAATGTCATGCTGTGATCCAAATTGAATCTACAGTATCTTGTAATCTTTTATGGTGACAGTGTCTTACATCATTTATAATTCCTTATGCTGAGTTGGATTGACTGGAATGCCTTTTACCCCACTTCATTGTTTTCCTTTTTCCAGGGTTTGTGATATGTATGTGTTCAAAATAGGAATATCCAGGGACTAGTCTTAGATATGTTTACCGTTGGCAGCTTTCTATGTAGTGACTTGTTCTGCAATCATCACCTCTTTTGCATTTGTTGTTTGTTGAAACATTGACACATCACTGTTCTGTCTTGATCAAAATTGACATCTCTACCCCCAGATGTGAGATCCAAGGGAATTCTGACTTTGTACAAGGTTTTTCTGAGATCATGGGACTCAAAATTTATTTGACTTGTCCTCCTCATTATCCTAACCTTTCACCATCAACTCCTTCCTCTCATTATCTCGTGTGAAATGCCCCCTAACATGCCCAACACAGGACAGATGATTGAGTATAATTCCAGCTTGAATTTGACCTCAGGATGGACAAATCCAACCACGTCTAGCCAAAAACAATGATGTGGTAGCGGTGTTTCTCAAAGGCTTGGATTTTGGTATACCTTGAGGAGAAATGAACTTGGGCAACCTAGGAGCAAATCACACACAATAAGAAGTCCCACTTCTTGCCAAATTTGCAAAGCAGAGGGCTCAAGCAAGTACCCCTGGATTTGTTGTCCAATGATACATTTAAACAATGATGGGAACCCCTCAATCTGAGAGGATTGCCTGTTTGGTTCCAGGCTGTGAGGAGAAGTAGTATTCTCTTGCAGTCATGCTGGCCAAGCTTGTGGTGGTTGCAAATGATGTCATGCCACACCTGTCTAAAGGCCAACTTTCTAAACAAAAGCATGGCAGAACCATTAATGAACCCCCAAATGTCAAGCTCTAACCCATATTTTAACTTCCAGGCTATCTCAATGAATGGGAATCTTGACAGTTGCTGAGAAATCTTCACAGAAGAAGCCACTCAGGAGGAGCTCAATAAGAGACCAGCTGGATCCTATGAAGCTGCAGCATCAAGATGTGCAGATAGTCAACAACCAACAATGACATTGGCTCCCAAAAAGCCATTGCACAAGCAAAAGGCATGTAAAAATGACAAACCCATTGAATAACTCTGAGCCATTTTCTCAAAATTATTAACTATAAATAATACATGTTCATAGTATAACTAGAGAGTAGATTCATTACATCACATTACATTAGATTCTAATAGTCTTATCCATTCTCTATGAGATAAAATTATTGAGAAGAGAGAATCCGAGTATTCAAGAGACAAGTCAAGAATCAAGAAAAGAGAATCAAATTTAGATTTGATACTTCCACACTCTTTTTACTCACACATTTATTAGCTATGATCTACAAGATAATGCGTGGAAGTAATAGTAATAAGTTGAGAGAATCGAGAATCATTAGTGCATCCAAACAAACAAACCCCAAATTGATTTGGGTTCCTTATCTGTGGCCCAACTTATACAGGGTTTATAACAAGGCATTCCAGACTAATAACATCAAAGCTGAAGACTCTTCAGAGTCAACTATAACAGTCAAGATATTTCATCACCACCTATTAAACAATCTTGTCTTACACCTGGAAAGCACATCTCATGCCAAATGCCAAAAAGGTCAGAGATATAGAAAAATCATGGCTGCAAATCATATCAGTAACACTTCATAACAAATCCAAACACTTCACTAGACTAGTGCATTCCTGTCAATAAGAACACTTATCGAGCAAGGAAATTGTTGTGCAACAAGTTATACATCACTGTTACAGGTTGATTACATATGAATTACATATGTAATGCAGCACTTGAGGACCCAGGAACTGTAGATGTACAGTAGATTACAAAATGCTTGAAATCCGAAATTTCTCAAAATCACAAGCTGGCCCGTGTGAGGGCGCAGCACCGGCCAAAAATGAAGTGGCCGGGGGGACCACTAACTCTCTCGAACGACGTCTCAATTGACGGTCATTGGACTGCGACTTCCACTAACCTGACGATCCTCACCAACTTTCAAGAACTTCACCACCCACTCGACAATTTCGATGTCAGATGTGAAGTTCTCAAATTCGATGCCAGATGTGAAGTTCTCCGGCCGATTGGAGGACCCTGGTGGGCCTTTCCTATTCGACCTTTGGGGTGGCCGTACCTTATTTGAGTCTCGCCAACATCTCCTCGATTCCGTCGTCTCTGGATCTATCACCCTCCAAAAATCATCAGACAACCAGCTCTCATTATTCCGGATTTCTTGGTCAAATTGCTCGTCTGGGTTCCATTTCTTCCCATATTCCTGTTCTAAAATGTCGAAAAATCTTTGTTCTGGCAACCCTCAAGGGTCTCAATCTCAAGATGCGTCCGATCGCAACACCGCGTAAGTTTCGGTTTTCTAGTTTCGACAGCTGATCTAAATGACTGATCCAGGCCGCTCCGAACCAGGTTACAACTTGTTGACGTTTTGAATATCAACAACGATGATACGACTTCCGGAATAGGCTCCCAAGAGTCTTTGGTGACGTTCGATTTTGGCCATGAGGATCCGGAAGAGGGGCCTGGTAAGTCTTCATTCTTCCCAATGTTGGCTGGGAAGCTGAAGCTGACGTGTATCCTTGGATAGTCGATTTGCCGCAGGTCGATCAACAAAGCGGTATCGAAGCCAACAAGTGTGTCGAACCGAAAGATGGTAAGTCACAGAGCCAGTGTTCTTTTACTAGCATCAACTGACCTAATATTCTGATTCTTTTAAAGTCACCAAGCAGCAATTCAGTGACATGAAAATCACGTTGAGCTTGTACACGCCTGAGGCCACCACCGGACCTGTCAAGGCTAATCACAAGCGAAAATGGGTTGCTCAGAAATTTCCCGTCACCAAGCAACAGATTGATATCACCAAAGATTTGATTGATGATTTGAAAACTCATCTATTCATCATTGCCAACAAGGTTTGGAACGATACCACTGGTGGCCTCAGTGCCTTATTCAAAACTGCGGACGCCAACAAGCAACTCACTGTCGGTGTCTACGTTTTCAATCACCCTACCTACGGCAAAGGTAAAGGGTCTGTGGTCGCCACCGACAAACAACTCGGCCTGTTCTTCAAAGCGGTTGCGGATGCGCCAACCACAGAAGCCGGAATTTCGTTATTGATGGAGCATCCTGGTAAAGCGGCCCTCCAGGTTGCTGGTGTAAGTTTGCCTTTTTTCTTTAAGTTTGCCTGTGGGCCTTTCGCTGACTCCGATGACTCTCGGTCTCGGTTTACTAGGAACGGTCCTTAGCGCATGCGGTGTTGACAGTCACCAATGCCGTCAACCACGGCCGCACGACCTCAACCGACGAGCTTGCGCATTCGGACCCCGTCCCCCAGCGCAAACTCGTGCTCAATCAGTTGATTCAGCACCACGACAAGAAGGGGAACTCCGCAGGAGAAGGTTATTGTGTTGTCCACAAGGATGACAATACCCAGATCATGGACTTATCTTTCGAGCACATGATCGAATGGGCAAAACTCTTGGTACGTTGTGATTTCTTTCTTCAGGCTTTGTATATTTCATTGGCTCTTTGGTTGTTTATTCATTCGAACATTGTGTTCAATATCTTTCTGATTTTCAGGCCATGGGGACCACCGGGGTGACTTTGGACATCCCCCCAAAGGCCCCTGGTTTCAAGTGGCACAGCACTAAACGCCCTCTAATGACCACTGCGCCTCTGTTCACCGCGAAACAAGTCAAGACCGTCGCCAGCACCACTCAATCCCCTCAACGCACCTGGGGTTATGCTGAGATGCAAGGCATGCATCTCGAGGTGGATATCGCGGAGGCCAGACGCCTCGGGAACTTTTCGACTATCGACGATTTCATCCACTTTGCTAGAGTCCCAGAAAATGAGGTGGATCAAGTCACCAAAACTTTTGAGGAAAATGGAATTCAAAGCTTTTACCGTTTCCTGTTCCCCGAGTCCTTCAACGCGCGCGACATGGAACGATGGGGAATTCAATTTGACACCGGTCTGCTCTTAGTCGAAAGCGCTCGCCGCTTCTACATCCATCTTGTCGAGAAAGAAGAAGCAAGGCTCCGGGCTAATCCAATTGTTATTCCTGATACTGACGATGAAGATTCCTGTGACGTTAAGATCATGCCCAGTAAAAAGAAATGAAGCTGTAACATTCATTACCTCTCAAAAAAAGCCTATACGTGACTATTATTATTAGTCTTCCATTTTTGTGTTTTATCAAAACGGTATAGCTATCTCCTACTCCCCCTCAACAAAGGTCAATACGTGTCTATTCCAAACTTAGCTTGATTGTTTATTGTTTTAGTCTTAATCCTTTGTTGTTTGACAAAAATCGTATTGTTGTTGGTTATTCTCAATCGACTTATTTGTGTTCGTGCTGTGACCTTTTTGTGTTCCTACTGACGTGATTGGCTGGTGTCTGTAATTCAATTCCGGCCTGTGTTTCCTTACGCAACTTGCCTGATGTGTTCCTCCCAAACCGTTCAACCGTCCCACCTTGAAAACTAAGATCACCCCTTGTTGAGAAGTCGGAGCTCTAAAGTCACTCTTCAAGTTCATGATGAGATGTACAGCCAACTTAAGAAATCGAAGTTGATGATTAAGCCTTGTCAACTTTGATTGTGGATTCCAAAAAAGAATAAGTTGAACTTGTCAAAGTTCAAATTATTTTATGATTTTATGAATCATAACATCATAAATTTGAACATGACCATTTTCACAAAGCCAAGTTATGATGTTTTTGGCTTCATAACTTGCCTCTCGAGAAAGTTCACACATTGAAGAGGTCAACGTGTCAACTCTGTGGATATCACAACACCTCATGATGCTCATGTCTGATTGAACTCAACTGTGTGGCGCATCTCAGTATAAGTGACAAGCCACAAAGGGAACACGATTCATTTCAACTGCCAAATCACCATGGCCAACACAACTTTTTCAAAAATAACATCTAAATGTATCAGTCTACAAGCTCAAGGGCATCAATTAAATACTTCTACGTCATTCAGACAACTATAACAAGTGTAACAACTATGACTCAGACAGACAGCTAAAAATATTGGTTAACAAGAAATTGGAATTTGAAACTATTACTAATGTATGGTCTCCCAAACCAACAAAGACGTCCTTTGATAATTCTAACCAAGTGAGAAAAGACTGAGTGAATTTGATTATAACCTAGTCTTCCTCGTCAAATCGGGCATTGAATCGGAGCCAATAGTGTTGAGTGGTGTATCCACTGTGCGCGATCAGAGGTTGTAATAACGTTCGAGTCATCACTCGGGCGGCTAGTAAGAGTAGGTATTCGGCTTTGTCGTCCTCAAACAGCCAACGACATTCCCTTTTCAAGCGAGCCTTCATACAATGAAACCCATTTTCAATAGGGTTCATATCGGGTGAATAGGCCGGTAAGTAGATAACCAAAATGCCTGCTCGTCGACAAAGCTCCAGGATCTTCCCCCCATGGTGAACTCGCGCATTGTCCAGTATTAAGACCGAGTTTCGTCCTGGATATGGGTTCATCACCGGAAGCTGGTGTTCACCAAAAGAAACCAATTAAAAAAAGGCCAATGATGAGGAGCAAAGGACAATGCTTACCAAATCGTGTTTGAGAAAGAGTTCCACATCAGTTCTGCGGACTGGCCCTTTGATTACGGTGCCCGCGATCATCCCCTGCTCACTGACCGCGGGGAGTAAGGTCCAGTGGGACCTTTCGGTCTGACGCTTCTCTCGCACCGTTTGGGTTCCTCGCTTAGCGTAACTACGTTTCCGAGATGCATCCCGGCCGACAACCCCGCTTTCATCTGAAAGCCCAAACAGGTGTTAGTCACAAAGGCATAGATGGACAGTCAAGGAAACAAAACCACCAACCAATGAATACCAAACACTCGGGTGGAATTCCAGCCACCCGCATCATGAAATCGGTCCTTTGCTCAAGTGACTGGTTCGGATGTACACCTCGAGTGACTAACAGAGATAAACCTAAGCGATTATGAATCTCGCGAGTAATGGTCGCACGAGAGACTTCGAGACCCGTCAACTTGTGGAGTTCAGTTTGCAACTCGTCTAAGTAAATCGACGGGCGATCGACAACAAGGTCGTAAAGGATAGCAAGGTTGGCGTTTGACAGAGCATAGGGTCGACCCCGAGTTTCGTATGTTGCTGGATCAGCGATGACACGGTTTGTGAGACGAAAAATGTGTTTCCATCGGTAAAGAGAGACCGCGGAGATGGATGTTTGTAACCTTAAGTTGATATCCTCGAGAGGTACGTTCTCCATCGCGAGCTGAGTAGCTAGGAGTTTGATGGCTTCGGAGTAGACAATAAAAGCCATATTCGAGGGACTAATGGGCATAGGCTGGAAGAATCAGGATATGGGACATGGATTGATGAAGCCAAACCAGTTGCGAAAAGCGAGCGAGGGGGAGAAAGGGTTTCTGGGGTTCACCCCAACCCCAACGAGAAATTTCGGTCCAAACAAACGATTAAAAAAAACAACCAAAAGATAAAAAAAAAGGAAGATGGATGATCTTTAGCAGATCATCTGTCGTGCGAGTCCACAGTTGACGGCCCGGCCACTTCATTTTTGGCCGGTGCTGCGCCCTCGCACGGGCCAGCTTGCGATTTTGAGAAATTTCGGATTTCAAGCATTTTGTAATCTACTGTATGTGATGTGAAAAAGCCACTTTGTTGAGGAGGTTTTTGGGCCATTGACTGACCACACTTCACTCCTCTAATCAGAACATGTATAATTCAACTTTGGAAAAGTGGAACAGAAATCAAACAATATGAAGATCATTGGCATTATAATGGGGTTGAAGCATCAAAAATTTCAAACCTTTAATGGGATGAAACTCAGTTCTTTTGACAAATGGAGATACTGTGCAAGATTCACCTTCACTTGTCTTCATGAATTACTGGGAGACGTATTTGAATGAGATGTTACTATTTATTAAGACCAAAGCCTCATTACCAACCCAATTAGCTTTACCTAATTTCTTGCTACTATAGATTTGTAGAGGGATTCATGGATTTTTGAAGGAAAACCCTGGTACTGCAGAGAAAGTATCACATATTGATAGACCAATTGAGTATCAAGTCACATTGTTTGCTTGCTTCCTTCATCAAAAATTATATGATGAATCCTTTTGAAGGCCTTGCTTAATATTGAGGCATATATATGTCCTACACAAAGTTCTCCTGGAACTTTTCCACGAAGGTTCCAGAATGATTTTCCACGAAGCCAGAAAAGAAAATCTTGGCTGTGTTCTGGCTTCGTGGACTTGTGGAAAAAAAACCAATTTGAATGCCCTTTGCCCCTAGGATCCAAAAGACAGCGTCATTCAACACTGCAGCTGCTGATCGAGGCCTCTACATCTCCCCCTCAACCACCTCTCATTCTTCACCTCACTTCCACACCTCTGTCCTCATAAACCACACGATGGCCTGAAAAGGATGAATGAATATATTGATTTTTTTTGTGTATGAAAATATCAATAGAAACAAATTGATAGGAACATCTTTTGAAAGAACATCCTCGATTTTGAACAAGATCAATGTCTGATCCTTCAACTGACAATAATCCAAATGAGATTAGCTGTTGTTGAAGATCAATAGGAAAATGTTCTATCCGATGATACACAAAAAGATTGAAATAAACTTTTGAATCTTGGACGAGATCGATACCTATGTATTTGAATCGATTTCTGATGTTA